TTTATGCGTGATCGTAGATGTAACCAGTTTCAATGCACCCCCTCTCCCCATGTACGCATGCCCCTCCTCCTCACCGATAGCGGCACAGGCGCGCGAAAGAAACAATCGCTCGGTAGCACGCGACCAGAGGGAATACTGTACAGAAACCTGATCATCAAGGTGCTCGACTGCATGCGGGATGAGATGGGCCAACTGCACAGGGCACATACACAGCGGCACACGATCTGAGCAAATCTCTTGATGAAGATGACGCCGCCACGGTAAGTCAGGTCCGTGGCAAACTGGAATAACGCGAGGGCGTACTCGCCGACAGAGACGCTGAACCAACACTCGGTGAGCCAACTGGATACGAAGTGCACGATGTGTTTTGAACGGGGACGGTTCGAAAACTCCAACCTGGACGAACGGGGCCAAATCCTCCGAGACCAGCGCATAATCGATCATCGTCCCCGATCCTTGCGAACACGTGAAATCGACTCCCATCGGGGCCAGCACCCGAGCATGAACAGACTGCGGATATCCCGAGAGCCACATACTTTCAACTTCAATATCGAAGCCCCCTACCAACATCCAGGGAACCCCGAGAGCACGGACGAACTCGGCGATACCCCGCATTTTAGACAGGTTTTCCCCCGCGACACCCAGGCACGAGACAAAGTAGCACACTCCGACCGCGATAGTCGCTCTCTGGGTCTTGAGCTCGAGAAACATCCAACCTGGGCCCGACCCAATGTCGGAAATCACACCTGCATGGGCAAGAAAACGCTTAACATACAAGCTCTTGCTGACGACCACCCCAACCCCGCCGTGAGTCCCCCTCCCTTAGTAGGCACGCCTGCCTGAAGGTGGGGCCTCCAGCCCATGGCTGCGATCTCCCGCTTCGCGGCAGGCAAAGCAGGCTGCTGTAATCTGTGCTCACAAAAAAAGGAAGCCATCCACCTCTGGACACATGGTAGACGCAAAATCCTTCGCAACCTTAGACCAGCTCGTGATGTTACAAAACACCAAATTCAGGCCACCGCCCGCTGCGAGCGGAAACTTGGATCGGGGCGGACGGGATCGGGAAAGAAAGCCATCGCTAAAGAGACGCCGCCCCTTCCACTGGCATTGCGACGGCCTGCTTGAGCAGCTCAGTAAACTGGCTTTGGATATGCTCCTTCGTGGTCCGCAGGCGCTTGGAGGCGCGGGCTCGAACCCGATCGCGGATGAGGTTCCCCATGCGCTCCTGCTCCTCAGGGGTGAGCACCTGCTACTGGCCACGCTCGCGCAGCCCGCGCAACTCTTCATCGCCAGCTCCGACAGCATCTCCAAAGCTAACGCCGCTGCCAGCATCGCTAGCAGCATCATCACCAGCACGTTGAATGGTGGCCCGCATGGCCACGAACGCTTCCCAGAGGCCCTTTGGCAACCGCTGCTGGTTGGCCCACTCGTTCTGCTCGGCTGCCGACATCTGCGAGAAGTCTGGAAGATCCACCTGCGTGGGCTCCTGCACTGGTGCATCCACGCCTCCTTCGCCGTCAGCAAGCACATCAGCAGGAGCTGGGCCGCCATCGCCAGCACCTCCAGCGGCCACGCCGCCACGTGCCGCGCCGCCGCGCGCAGCGCCGCGCCAGGGCGCGCCCGCCAACGGCGCAGCAGGGGCCCCAGCGTGGGGCGCAGCCCGCTGGGCCTGGCGCGCCGCCTCAGCGCGCGCCTCAGCAGCCTTCGCCACCTTCCAAGCCTCGGGGTCGAAGGCCTGGAGCTCGGCGTCGGCATCACGACGGGCCTTCTGAGCAGCACCATGCTCCTCCTCCGCAGCGTGCAGGGCGTTCGTCGCCTCGTCAAGTTGCTCCCGTACCCGCTGAGCCTTGCTTCTCTTCTGTTCCACTTCCTGGCACGCAAGCCGAACCTGCCGAGCAGCGTCCTCGACCACACGGGCCAAGCGAGTCCGCTCGGTGTTCGCCGCGGTGTCGAGCTGGGCAGGTGCGAGGACAGCCGCTGGAGGCGCAGGCTCCTCCGCCAAGTCGCCCAGGTGCTCGCGGAGACCAGGCCGCGCCGCCAAGAGAGTGGCGGCAGCGGCGCGCAGCTGCCCATCAGGCTGCCCAGCACCAGCAGCACCTGCAGGAGCACCTTCATGGTCTCCCCCTCCACGGACTTTGGACTCGAGGTAAGAGCCACCACACTTGGAGCAAACCTCATGACCGCGGCCTGCCCACTCCCAGTGACTGCAGGAAGCACACACGTTGTAGCTCCGCTGGCGCAGGCGGCGCCGCGGAACACGTTTGTGAGAGGAAGAGGAGGAGGAGGAAGAGGAGATGGCTGGGAAATAAAAAAGGAGGATCAGCAGGAAAATGCTTCTCAGGACACTGAGAACAAGAAGAGGACAGCCGGGAGGAGGACGAAGACGGGGCGACGAGGGTGAGGAGGAGGGAGAGGATGACAATGATGAAGAGGAAGTCGGAGAGGATGGGGAGGAGGTCCTCTTCCTTCTTCTCCTCCTTCTCCTCCTCCTCCTCCTCCTCATCCTCCTCCTCCTCTCCTCCTTTCTCTTCCTCTCCCAAGTGTTCCCCCAAAGGGTTCCACAACGGCTGGGGGAAGACACAGTCTGATAACTTCGCCAGACTTCGGCCCAACGTCTGGCCGCAGGGGCCTCTCCAAAAAGGCAGGGGGCGGCGGTGATTTTCCGTAGGCTTACTCGGTTCGTCCTCCCGGCGCCCTTCGCTGGGCCCCAAGGCCGTCAACAAAAAAAAAAAAAACACGGGATGATAACCCAGTCCTTGGGTTAGGTCGGGCATGTCCCCCTACAGGCGGACGTTCGACGAAAAATAACAACTACCAAAAAAATACTCAAAAACATTCAATAATATTCAAAAATGGTCAAGACATCGTCCCCTGACTACTTTCTGCCTATTTTCGAATCCCCCCTGTAGAGAGATGAGGGACTCCAGGCCGAAAACTGCCAGAAACCTTCCGTCGTGACATCTATCACGACTCTCGAGCGGCCCATGGCGGCAAGAAACGACCTTCGGGGGTCTGGGAATGTAGAGGAATCCAGAAACCAAAAAAAAAAACATGAACACGATGTCTCAGATGCCCGCTGCGGCGCCACATCGCACGCTTTCATTGCAACGCCGACCGTAGGCCCTCCCTCCCCCTCCCCGGCCTGCTCTCCGTTTCTCCTCCTCCGCCTTCTTCTCGCCCACTGATCCTCCTCCGCCCTCCCCTCTCCCCCTCCGCCCTCTCCTCCGCCCTCTCCTCGCCCTCGCACGCCATCCTTCCAACGCCGACCGCGACAAAGATCACGGCGGAGGGTCCCTGGGGAAACCGAGAGGTGCCCATACCGCTGCGCCCCTGACCTGTCCCGGTAGCGCGCTCTGGCCAGAGCTTCTGTTAGGTCGGGCATGTCCCCCTACCTGCGGATTTCGGATGGGAAAAACATCTTCAAAAATGCTCAAAACTAGTCGACAACTCGTCGCCAGACTATTTGACTGACTCTTCTTGAACATTCCCACTTGTAGAGGGAGACATGCCCGACGTAAGGCCAGAGCTTTCGAGGCGATTCCCACGGTGGCGACGAGAGCCAGGCGGCCTGGCGGGGCGGCAGCGAGGCCAGGGGTGGCGGCGCGGGTGCCAGCGACTCCTCCGGACAGGCTGGAGGAGTCGTAGTTTTTTTTGTTGTTCGTGGGCATTCCCATGGCGCAGGCTTCCCTCGCACTTCGTTGGCACAAAGAATACGACGACCTCTCCGAGGCACTGCGCAGCTCTTCATATGCATACTCTTGCACGCCACTGCACATGTACACTACAAGCTGCCGAAGCATCTGCCGATGCGCCGTCTAGGCACGGCCTTTTCCTGTCCTGTCCTGGCATTCCCATGGCGCTTGCTCACATCTTCTCTGCGAGAACGGCGCCCGTGCACCGTACCATGACTGGACTCCCTTCGGGCCCCGCTCCGGAGTGGTACGGTGCACAGCGTTTGGGGGCTCCTGGGGGCCGACAAACTGTGCACCGTGCCCTTCCTGGGTCGCAGGTCGGCCACGCCTGGGGAGGCGCCAACGCGGCACGGAGCATACATACCATCCGCACCTTCTCGGCTCCCCTGCAGCCGGACAAAAAATATCGCAGGTGTCAGGCTGCAGGGCCCTGCGCCCCTCGTCGAACTCTGCGGAGATGCCGTGTACAGAACCCCCTCTGCAGAAGTTGGGTCACTGCAGCTTGCCGCCGCTCGGGCGTCCATCCCCCGTGCACCTGTCGATTTCGCGCGTGCTTCTCTCTGATTTCGCTCGATGCTACGAGATGCTCGGTGTACGGAAGCAGACTCCATACACCGGTGCTTTTTCTGGCCCTGCACTGTCACTTGCACAGGGAAGCGGATACTGGTGTACACGGGACCCTGGTGTATACATTTGTCCTTGTTTCCCCGGGGAACAAAATATACACCACAGCACCCCGACGTCGTCCCTGACCCTCAAAGCGTCCTGGGATTGAAGCATAGCCCGCCACTGGTAGTGTGTATGATCCAGTTTCCGAAGATGCTCCTCGACGACCCTCGCCGAAGAAAAAAATGCACACGTCCGAGCGATACTCGGGGGGAACGAACGGGGGAGATAGCAAAAGAGTAGGGTTGAGAATCAGCTCACGTAGCTGATTTTCCCAGCGCCTCCCGGCGCTGGGAAGCGCCCATGTATCAAGGAATGAGCCCGGCAGCGGAGCCAAAACCAGCTGCATGCAGCAGATTTCGTACCCCCCCCTTTCCCCATTCCCCCCCCTCGTTCGGCCCGAGATGCCCAGGACAAGCGCTCAACGGCAGGCTCCGAGAACGTTGGCGGTGCGCACAAGGGGGCGGAGAGAGGGGGGAGGGCTTCTTGGAAGCAGGCTGCTTCTTAGAAGGCGCCAGCCTCACATCAAACTATAGATGAGGCCCGCGCCTTCTAAGAGGCAGAGGTCCTTCTGAGAAGCCCCCCCTCTGCGCGTGGCCGCGAGCGGCCGGTCGGCAGCGGGCGGCCGCGGACCCCGCGGGCCTCCAGCACCGCCTCGTAGAGCTCGTCGCGGCCGCCTCCGCGGCCCGCGCGGGGGCGGCCGCGCCCCGCCCCGAGACCCGACGGGCAAGCCGCGCGTGCGCTCGGACCTCAGGCGCGCCTCGAGCAGAGGACCGACCACAGAGTCGCTTTGCCCCAAGCCTGGTTTGGCGGCGCGCACACGGGGGGGGAGGGAGGGGCGAGGGCTTCTTAGAAGGAGGCTTCTCAGAAGGCGCCGGCCTTATATCTATAGATAAGGCCGCGCCTTCTGAGAAGCAGGGGTGCTTCTAAGAAGCCCTGCCCCCTCCCCCCAACCCCCTCTGCACGTGGCTGATTGGTTCGTGCGTCGAAGCTGCCAACCAGTGCGTGTAATGTTCGTACACGTGCAGAGGATTCTGCGTCTTTGTGTTGTAGCTTCGACGGAGAAATCAACTTTGGGGTGCATTTAGGTCGGGCATGTCCTCCTACAGGGGGATTATGGACGAGAAATAAGAAAATACTCCAAGAATATACCCCAAAATGGTCAGAAATGATCGGAAGATCGCCCCCAAATCATTCCCTACCTAGGCTTTGCCTAGGAGGGTTCTTACCCTCTTGGTTTAAAGGGCCGGGCAGTGGGAACCGGCCCGGGCGGTTCCCCCAGTATCCGCCCCGCGGTTCCCCCAGTTACGTCCCCTTAGCTTAGCGTTGCTTATCTCATCTTAGTTTAGCTTACCTTAATGTTAGCTTAGCTTAGCTTCATCTTAGCTCAGGTTTGTCTTAGCTTAGCTTAGCTTACCTTCATCTTAGCTTCGCTGAGCTTTAGCATAGCAGAGCACAGCATAGCATAGCATAGCGTAGCGTAGCATAGCGCAGCATAGCATATCATATCATATCATATCATAGCATAGCATAGCATAGCATAGCAGAGCAGAGCAGAGCAGAGCAGAGCAGAGCGCAGCATAGCATAGCATAGCATAGCGCAGCATAGCATGGCATAGCATAGCATAGCATAGCATAGCATAGCAACTAATGCTGGTTTCCTAGGGGCTCCAACTTCTAGGTAGGGTCGCGCTGGGGGTAATTGCTTGACTACTTGTGGCCCTTCCTCCTGCAGAGGGACATGCCCGACCCGAGGGTGCATCACCTCTGTCGCCGCTCCCCTGCTCGAGTGCCGGAGGGCACTCTTGCGCGGCCGCGGCGAGCGCGCCCCGCCCAGGCCCGACGGGCGCACCGCGCGTGCGCCCCGCAGAGGACCTCCGGCATGCTCTCTCTCTCGCCTGCGGCGCGACACGGAGGCACCAAGACCTGCCCGACGGCGCTTGCACGTCCTGAGCCCGGGTCGGGCCTGTCCCCCTACGGGGGGAGCGTTAGACGAGCGCGCTCCACGACTCGCAGAGTAGCGACTCGCAAAATGGCCTGGATCCCCCCGCGGGGGATCGACAATGAATTACATCAAGGCCGACATGTGCTTTTCGGACGTTTGCGACGAGTAGGCACTTTGCGAGTAGTGGAACGCGCTCGGGCGAAAAATAAAAAACACTCCATAAATGCCCAAAACATGAAAAAATGCTCAGAATGTCGTTCCCCGACTATTCTTTTGACTGTTTTTGAATGCTCCTCCTGTAGCGGGACCAGGCCCGACTTGACCTAAGACCTCCAAGATGTTTCCTTAGTTCCGGCGCGACACGGAGGCACCAAGACCTACCCGACGGCAGACTGTGGTGCCGGACGCACCGCGGCAGTGCCAGGGCCGCACTCGGGGGAGGGGGAGCGTTATGCTATGGGGTGAGAGGGGGGGAGGGAGAGGGGAGGGGGGTTGCATGACGCGTTTTGGCCCAGAAGGTTTTTTACAAAAACACCCTCCTGGAAAAAGGCAAGCCCGTCGCCGTTCTCGGCCTCCGAAGCCTTCGCTGGGCCCTGGGACCCTCGAAAAACTACTCGGGATGAGAACCCGGCCCAGGGGAGAAGGGTCAGGACTTCCGGGGACCGCGCGTTGGACAAAACAGCACCACGGATCGGAGGAGAGGCTCTCCGGAGAGGCTCCGCTCGATCGGAGCTCGGCGGCGCGTGGCCGGAGGAGGCCGAGTCGCCCAGTAGCCCGACAATCCCCGAGAGCGCCCCCCTCAGTGTTGGCTCGGCTCCGGGCCCCGGGACCGCCGACGGGTCGATCGGGCCCGGAAAAGGCCGCCTGCAGAGAGGGTCCAAGGCTGCGGCCGCAATTCCTTACGATGTGGCACGTGTTCCGCGACGTCGGAGTTCGGGGTCGTCCACGTTCGGCGGCAGCTCTGGGAGCCTCCCACACCATCCTGTCGGCTCTTGCGAATCGACGCTGGTCGACGCTGATCGACGCTAAATCGATATCGACACCTGCCGACGCTAGATCGGCGCTATCTCATCGACTCCCAGACGCGAACTGACGCCAATCGACGCCAAGACGGAAGACAGAGGGCACACCAGGCTCCCATGATTTGCTACCGAAGTTCACGCCATCGCATTTGCTCCCCGCCCTCGTCCTCGTCCTCGTCCTCCTCCTCCTCCTCCTCCTCCTCCTCCTCCTCCTCCTCCTCCTCCTCCTCCTCCTCCTCCCACGGTGCCGCCGCTCCTCTCGCCTCTGGCCTCGGCAGGCCGCCCGTCGGCTGGAAGAGGCCAGGCCGCAAGCCCCGCTGGCACCTCGGAGTGCTTCTCTCGGAAGGGCGCGAGGGGCCTCGCCACCGCGTGCGACTCCTCAAGGGGCCCCAGGACACACGAAGAAATACACACAAAGGACAGGATGCCCCATCTGTTCCCATATCTTCGGTGTTTTTGTTTTCCCCCCCACACTTCCCAAATCTTCCCATATTTTCCTGGAAGTCGACCATTAATTTTGTCTGTGTGTTTTTTCTTCTCCTGAATTTCGTGCACCCCTCGCAGGGCTTGCACGCGCGGCGCGCACATGTGGCAAGCGCTCCCGCGGGCCACCGAGCGCGACGGGGGGGCCCCAGGCGTCGGCGATGACCGCCGGGCCCACGCGCGCGCTTCAGCCACGTCGTGGTTCCCCTTCGCCGAGACAGCTTAAACATTCGAGAGGTAGCGCGTTCAGAAACGATAGACGTGGCCCAGCTGGAGGAGACCATACTGGAAGCCCCACTGGCCCCACTGGCACCAACTGGCGCCTGCAGGCCATGCTCCTGAAAAAAGTCGGCCGAGGGTCTGAAGTCCACGGAAATGTGCGGTGAGGGCGAACCCGAGCGGGGATGCCTGAGATTCCCCAGCGTCGATCGAGCCCCGCCCCAGGGGCAGGGAGAGCCTCGCCTGCCAGAACGCTTGGAGAGTCTCTCGCCAGCTCGCGGTTCTGCAGAGCTCCCGCCTAAGCTACCCCCTGCGGGGCAGCTTGGACTGGAGCCTGTGGAAGAGCACCTCGGTGCCGACCACCTCCCCGTCGTGCCGACACCGTTGGACACCCTCCCGGACTACCCCTGCCCCTCTGAGCAACCCCTCCAGGGCGATGCTCGAACGGGGTTGCTCCCAAGACCCAGACCCCTCGACGTCATGATATTCACCGTATCGAACCCCAAATGTCTCGCCGCTCCCTAGGATCGGTTTCCCGTCGCGCCTCTTCGTTGACGGTCCCAGGGCCCAGAAAGGGCCCCTGGAGCCCGACAATTGGCGAAAAACTCCCATCGAAATTGTGTCATGTCACGGCACAGGGCGTGGGGAGCCCGCGCACATCCCGCGAGCTCGCGGGCTGCTCCAGCGCCCGCGCCTGTCGCGGGGGCACCGAGGCGACGCGGAAGTACAAAGGCGGCCCGGGAACGCCGAGGAGGCGACCGTCATCGATCCAGCTCGCGGCGGCTGACGGGGCTCCGCGGCCCTTCCTCCTTCTCCTCCTCCTCCTCCTCCTCCTCCTCCTCCTCCTCCTCCTCCGCCTCCTCCTACTCCTCCTACTCCTCCTACTCCTCCTCCTCCGACTCGCTCCTCCTCCTCCTCCTCCTCCTCCTCCTCCTCCTCCTCTCCTCCTCCGCCTCATCCTCCTCCTCCTCCTCCTCCTCCTCCTCCTCCTCCTCCTCATCATCATCATCATCATCATCATCATCATCATCATCATCATCATCATCATCAGAATCATCATCAGCATCAGCATCATCATCGTCATGGTCATCGCCATCGTCATCATCATCATCATCACCATCATCATAATCATCAGAATCATCATCATCAGCAGCAACATCATCACCACCACCATCACCATCATCAGCATCATAATCATTATAATCAACATCATCAGCAGCATCATCATCATCATCACCTTCATCATCATCATCATCATCATCATCATCATCATCATCATCATCAGGAGCATCATCATCATCATCATCATCATCAGCATCAGCATCAGCATCATCACCAGCATCAGCACCATCATCATCATCATCATCAGCAGCATCATCAGCATCATCATCATCATCGTCATCATCAGCATCAGCATCATCATCACCAGCAGCAGCATCATCATCAGCACCATCATCATCATCAGCATCATCAACATCATCAGTATCGTCATCATCAGCACCATCATCATCATCAGCAGCAGCATCATCAGCATGATCATCATCAGCATCATCATCATCAGCATCAGCAGCATCCTCATCATCATCAACAGAATCAGCAGCATCATCAGCAGCAGCATCAGCATCATCATCATCGTCATCATCATCAGCATCATCATCATCAGCATCAGCATCATCAGCAGCAGTATCAGCAGCATCAGCATCATCATCATCCTCATAGTCATCAGCATCATAATCAGCATCATCACCATCATCTGCATAATCAGCATCGTCAGCATCAGCATCAGCATCATCATCTTCGTCATCATCATCAGCATCATTATCATCAGCAGCATCAGCATCAGCATCAGCATCAGCATCAGCATCAGCATCATCATCATCATCATCATCATCATCATCATCATCATCCCACTCCTCATCATCCTCCTCGTTGGTAAGTCGTTGGTTTCCACTGGTCCTCCTCCTCCTCCCCCTCCTCTTCCTCCTCCCCCTCCCCCTCCTCTTCCTCCTCCCCATCCTTCCCTTCTTCCTCCTCCTCCTTCTCCTCCAGCTCTTCTCTTCCACACCCTCCTCGCCCACTCATCGTTTGATTGTTTCCTCCTGAACCTACGTATCTTTCTGCGTCCCCCTTCCCATCCACCTCCTCCAGCTCTTTCCACCCTCCCTCACTCCCCCCTCTTCCTCCTCCTTCTCCCCCTCGTCCTCCTCGTCCTCCTCTTCCTCCTCTTCCAACTCCTCCTCCTCCTCCTCCTCCTCCTCCTCCTGCTTCTCCTCCTCCTGCTCCACATTCCCTCATTATCTCCATCCCTCCCCCTCCCCCTCCCGCCTTCCCCCCCCTGCCCGCTGAAAGCGGTTGGCGTTGGAAAGATAGCGTGCAGCATCGATCTCCGAAAAGAACGCTATCCCTGTGAGGCGATCCCCCCCACGAGGGCCCCTTCTGTGCACGCTATCCCCATGCCAGGGTCTCTTCGGTGCACGCTATCCCCAATGTGGGTGGAATAGCGTGAATTAAGCGGGCCCGCGGCGCCACATCGCACGCTGTCTTTGCAACGCCAACCGTAGGCCCTCCTCCTGCTTCCCCCCTCCGCCTCCTGCTCTCCTTTTCTCCTCCTCCGACCTATCCTCACCTAATCAGGTGGCGGCAGTCGAACCCTACCCCCACCAGCCATCGAATCTCCCGAATCGATGAGAGGCGGGGGTAGGGCTAAGATTTCTCCACGTGCTCGGCGAATTCCGAACCCGTCGACTTGCCCGAATCGTTGACCGCGAGGGCAAAGGTTCGGATTTCGATGCTGGCACTGCTGTCCGGGCCTTCGCCCGCGGCGAAGGAGTGGGCGGCCGGGTCGGGGCCGAAGGCGGCCACGCGCAGCAGCGTGGGAGCCTGGCAGGACGTGGGGGAGGAGGAGGAGGAGGAGGAGGAGGAGGAGGAGGAGGAGGAGGAGGAGGAAGAGGAGGAGGAGGAGGAGGAGGAGGACGACGACGAGGACGACGAGGAGGACGACGAGGAGGAGAAGGAGGAAGAGGGGGGGAGCGAGGGGGAATCGGAAGGGGAGCGAGTGGAGCTGGAGGAGGTGGATGGGGAGGGGGAAGGAGAACGATACGTAGGCTCAGGAGGAGACAATCAAAGGATGAGTGGGCGAGGAGGGTGTGGAAGAGAAGAGCTGGAGGAGGAGGAGGAGGAGGAGAAGGAGGAGGAAGAGCGGAAGGAGGGGGAGGGGGAGGGGGAGGAGGAGGAGGAGGAGGAGGAGGAGGAGGAGGAGGAGGAGGAGGAGGAGGAGGAGAAGGAGGAGGAAGAGCGGAAGGAGGGGGAGGGGGAGGGGGAGGAGGAGGAGGAGGAGGAGGAGGAGGAGGAGGAGGAGGAGGAGGAAGAGGAGAAGGAGGAGGAGGAGGACCAGTGGAAACCGAAGACTCACCAACGATGTTGGAATAAACCATCCCTCCAAGCTCCCTCTCCATAGGCCCCTACAAGGGTTCATTTTCACTCAGGGAACTGCCCTGTTGGGAGAGAACGTTTGAAGGCCCTGAGGCGTGCCCACACACCATTATCAGGACACACCATTATCAGGACGCTAACGCCGCAAATCAATATGACGATTGCTTCTTGACGATCCTGAATCCTGCGGGATCACCATTCCTGGGATTTCAACACCGCGAATCAACGCAACTGTTACGCCATAACAATCCTGAGTCCAGTCAATAACACTATTCCTGGGACGTTGACCGTGGGAATCGGTGGAATGTGTGCACCTGTTTACAATGAATGTGCGCAGCGCTACGGCGAGAGCCACATGTTTAAAAACAAACCACCCTCTATCCGTGAACCTCTTGCAAATGTTTGAAGCGAGCCTGCGCGGCGCTAAGGCGAGAGCCGCATGTTGAAAACCACCCGCCCTCAATCCGTGAAGCTATTGCAAATTGGTCAAACAAACGTGCGCGGCGATAAGGCGAGGGACACTGGCACTTATTAAATGAATGTGCGCCGCGCTACGGCGAGAGCCACGTCTTGAAACGAACCGCCCTCAATATATGAAACTCTTGCAACTGTTTAAACAAATGCGCGCTACTCTAAGGCGAGAGCCACATTTTGAAGTCCACCCGCCCTCAACCCGTGAAACTCTTGCATTATGTATTGAATGTCCGCGGCGCTCAGGCAAGAGTCACATATTGAACACGACCCGTCCTAAAGCCGTGGTTCTCTTGCACATGTCGAAAACGAGTATGAGCGGCGCTAAGGCGAGAGCCGCATTTTGAAAACCACCCGCCCTCAATTCGTGAAGCTGTTGCCAGCTTCAAACCTTCAGGGTCATGAATGGCGAGGAAGTCTCATGCAAAATGCCCATCCCGCCCTTTCGACCAGCCTCGGAACGCGACAGGGAGGAGTTGTTCATAAGGAAAAGGAATGGAGGAGGAGGAGGGAACACAAATGCCATGTGTGTCGGTCTGTTCTGGCGCCTGCTGTCAAGTTTGCTCAGCGTTGTTCTCACCTTGGCCAACTGCACGAGAGGCATGAGCTGAGTAAGGATTGGGAGGATTGGTCTAAGGAGGGGGGAACAGTCAGTGCACAGAAGGCTTCCGTCTACCTTCATGGCTCTGAACACTGTCCAGGAGATGTTGTCGGGGTGGGTTTGAGCAGGTCTTCTTCATTACCCAGAAGGGTGATGAAGGAGGTGCAACATGGGATGCTCAACCACAAATAGCCCCTCCCCCGAGCCGCTCCTCGATGGCCCCAATCCGTGTTCCCAGCCCCCGGCGAACGCGGACGTGAAATGATATATTTCGAGACGCGTTAAGTCGAGAACCTGTACCCCCGACGGTATGCATCCAAGGCATTGCTCGTTGGATGCGCTCTCACTTATTTTTCAGTTGATGCAGATCCTGAGAAAGTCAGTTTGGTTTGGGGGCAGCTTCTCTACGTCTCAGGAACGGAGCCACCAGACTATCGTCTGGACAAATGCAGTCTGGGCAAACTGGTGTAGCAGTCAGGAAATATCATACCTATGCATCCTATATTATGGGATCTAGTCCAGTTATACGAGAAGATCTGCCACAATATACTACTAGGACAAACTGATTTGGTTGGATTCCCTATGTAGGATATCCTGTAGACTATCGGAACCTATCGTTGAGCGAGAGTCTTACTCATGGATGGGGCATTCGTCCCCAAATTATGCCCACACGGCGGTCTCATTGCCGGTTCGACCTCGGCAAAGTTTGAAGCAAAGGCGTACCTTCTCCCCGTGGACAAGGGCTGGGCCTACGAGCCAGACCACTCCTGCCTAGGAGTCCACATTGATGGGCGGAATCAACTCAACTCTGCATTGACGCGGTGCGCACAATGACTGTGTCCTTAGCCAGAGCTCCTCAGAAGTACCTCGGCTGCTCGCTATCTGAAAAGAATAAGGCACTCACGGTCAACACCAAGGACCTGGGAGGCACTCTGGAAGAAGAAGCACCTGATGATTTGATAGATTATCTTGCGGGCAAGCCTCATTCCCATGTTCGTCGACTGAATAGCGTAGGCTTAGGTGGCGTAAGTTCCAAGCTAGAACGGCTAAACTCAACAATAAGGCTCGTCTTGGGAGCGAACCCATTAATTCTTGTTCGAATAAGTCCTGCCCGGTTTGCTCATTCTCGGGTCCATACATCGTTCGGGATTAAAAAAATTCGATTGGGAACTGAAGCCCGATTCCAGCCCAGAGAGGCTGGGGGGCTGGGCTAAAATATACCAAGCCCTTGTGACCCAACGAGACGAGGGCGCCGACCCTACCTCAGCATGATTCCAGACGATACAGGGCAATCCCACGTCGTCCTGTAAACAGGTATGCCTTGTATCGTCCTATCTCGCTCTATAGCGTCGTATCTGCCCATACCGTCTTTTACCTAGTTATATCGTAGTACCGTCCGGTTCCATTATGCATCGCCTTATATAATATTGTGTTGTCGTATATCGTCTTCACTCGTCTTATGGTCTGACATCGTCTTAGATCGTCTGGACGGTAGAAGACGGTATCAGAAGATATAACTTTGCACAAGAAGGTATAAGACTAAATGAGACGATACAGAACGTAGGGCAAGCTGGCGTCGTCTTCTCAATACAGGACGACACAAGCCGGCATAAGACAGCATATGACGGCATAAGACGGCATACGACAGTATAAAAAAGGGGACGATGTAAGGGTATTCGACGTCTTCAATATAATACGATATGAGACGATGGCGGATGATATAAGACCACATAAGAAAATGTAAGACGGCATGAGATGAAATAAGACGATATGAAAAGATAGAAGACGATACAGGACGATATCGGGTAATTCGGCGTCGTCATCTGGAGAGGTATGCCCTGTATCACCCTATACATCGCCATATATGGTCTTATATGCCGATGCCATCTTATATCGTCTCATATCGTCTGTTTCGCCCCATTCCATCCGACATCGTCTTATAGCGCCTTGTACCGTCGAGAAGCGTCCGATGTCGTCTTGTACCGTCCAATGTCGTCTGGACGAAAAAAGGCAGAGCTCCTGCGACCACAATGTGTATAGATGTATTCATATATATATATATATATATATATATATATATATATATATGACGGATTCCCGAAACCTGAAACAAAGCGTTTCCATCTCTTGGGGGCTCATATTTTACGTCCGCCGGCTTCCGCCCGCCTTCCGCCCGCTTCCGCCACCCTTCCGCCGCCTTCCGCCGAGGAAGAGAAGCCAACCCCTTCGATCCTCGAGAACGAGGACATTTTCTGGAACGCCTCATATATAATATATGTATAATTTAAATAAGATGACGAGTAGCCGCATAATTGCATATCATGTATTTCATAATACAACACACTACGAAATGCTACAATGCAATGGCTTATGAAATGATATAACATAAAATATAATACTGCATGATATACTACAATACAATTCCACATAATGTGCTGTACTAGAATATAATATAGATGACAAGTTGCTGAAAAAATACGACACCACACATTAGATGTATGGCACTGCATGATATGATGAAGTATATCGCACTTCAAGATCATATACTACCATATGCAATGATAAACTATGATGCAATATACCATGCTACAATACAAACAAAAACCGGATTATTACATAATGCAACAGACGGAACACCATATTATGTATTAGCGTATGATATAAGATGAGATGGTATTAGACACTGTGTCATAGTACAGTAAAGCACAATAGACGAAGTGACAAACCGTGTACTATAATAAACTAGAGTGTATCACATCATGATATAGTGTACAATATTCGGTTACGAAACAGGATAAAGCATGCAAAGACTACAAAAAACCATGTGCTACGGTATGACATGTTATGATAACAGTACGAATGATACAAGAGACACACCCCTAACAAAGCCTTTTATGGCTATACGGCCATGGGGCACTTGGGGTTTAGGGCGATGGGGCTATGGGGGCAAGGGCTATGGAACTATCGGGCGATAGGGCTATAGGTCTATAGGGCTATGTAGAGATATAGACCTCTAGGGCTATAGGACCATAGGGCTATGGGGCTGTACGGCTATAGGGCTACGGGGCTGTGGGGCTCTGGGGGCTATGGGGCTATAGAACTTCAGGGCCATGGGGCTATGCGTCGATAGGGCTATGGGGCTACAGGGCTATAGGACCATAGTGCTACAGGGCTCTAGGGATATAGGACTATGGGGCTATCAGGCTACAGGACTATAGGCATATAGAGCTATAGGGCTATGGGGCTACGGGGCTCTAGGAATATAGGGCTATAGAGCTATCAGGCTATAGGACTATATGGCTATAGGGATATAAGGCTATAGGGCTATAGGGCGATCGGGCTATCGGGCTGTAGGGATATAGGGCGATAGGGCTATGGGGCTATAGGGCTATAGGCCTATAGGAGTATAGGGGTATAGCGCTATAGGTTTATGGGCTATAGAGATATAGAACTCTAGGGTGCTAGGACTATAGGGCTATAAGGCTATAAGGCTTTCAGGCTACAGGGCTATAGGGCTCTTGGGCTATAGGGCTATAGGGCTATTGAGCTATGCGGCTATAGGGATATAGGGCTATAGGGCTATAGGGCTGTAGGGCTGTAGGGCTATAGGGCCATAAGGCACACGGGCACCCGTGCACAAGGGCACCTGGGCACCCGGGCACCAGGGTACCAGGACACCTGGGCGGGCCGCGGAAATCGGTGACAAATCTCAAGTTCTGATTGGGGAATGAAAAGAGAATACCATATACTAGAACGTAGTGGAATACATACCATATAATGGAACATACTATCATAGAATAAAGTACAAAATAATACTATATATGCTATGCAGGGTACATATGAACTATACTATAACATATAAGTACAATTGCTTGTGTGTGGCGGGTGAGGGCCGCCAAGTTGCACCAGTCTACCTGCGCTTCAGTTTACTTGAACTTGAGTCTCCTCCTCAGTTTTCGGGCCGCTGCATATCCACGTTTGGGGTTACAGTCCCTCTAGCAGACCGCGGACGCTTGCACTTTACAGTGTGCGACGTCTCGTACAGTGTGCCTTCGACAACGCCCGATCGCAATTAGCAATTTCATCTGCTGACCGCGCTTGAAGACCCTCTCCACCGCTGACTTACCATTGTGGCGGGTGATACTCGAACCACCCCTCCACATCCCACCCTCCCTCCCCCCCGAGGTCGCGCCTCCCCCCCCTCCCCTCCCCCCCTCGAACCTCCCTCCTACCTCCCTCTCTCCCTCCCTCCCTCCCGCCCTCCCTCCCTCCCCCCCCCCTCGAACCTCCCTCCCTCCCGCCCCTCCTCCCTCCCCCCCCTCGAACCTCCCTCCCTCCCGCCCCCCCCAAAGCCGCGCCTCTGGCAGCCCGAGCTCCAGCGACGGGTCCCTGGGCGTCTCCCTCGCCACGCCCGCTGGCACCCGCGCCGCCTGCCCCGGCCGGCCGCACGCCTGCCGCAGTGCGCGGGCCGCCGCTGCACGGCCCGCCCGCCGACGTCGGCGGCGCATACCTCGTCCTCTGCCTCATCCTCCTCATCCTCCTCCTCCTCTGCCTCCTCCTCCTCCTCCTCCTCCTCCTCCTCCTCATCCTCCTCATCCTGCTCCTGCAACTTCTCCTCTCCTCCTCCTCCTCCTCCTCCTCCCTCCTCCTCCTCATGTTCCTGCTCCTCCTCCTCCTCCTCCTCATCCTCCTCCTCCATCATCATCATCATCATCATCATCATCATCATCATCATCATCATCATCATCATCATCATCATCATCATCATCATCATCATCATCATCATCATCATCATCATCATCATCATCATCATCATCATCATCATCATCATCATCATCACCATCATCATCACCACCATCACCATCATCAGCATCATCAGCATCATCATCACCACCAGCATCACCATCATCACCATCAGCATCACCATCATCATCATCAGCAGCAGCAGAATCATCAGCATCACCATCATCACCATCATCACCATCACCATCATCACCATCACCATCATCATCATCATCATCAGCATCACCATCATCACCATCACCATCATCACCATCACCATCATCACCACCACCACCACCATCATCGTCATCATCATCGTCATCATCATCATCACCATCACCATCATCAGCATCATCATCGTCATCATCAGCATCAGCATCAGCAACATCATCATCATCAGCAGCAGCAGCATCAGCATCAGCATCATCATCAACATCATCAGCATCAGCAGCAGCAGCATCAGCATCATCATTATCATCAGCATCATCAGCAGCATCAGCATCATCATCAGCATCATCAGCATCATCATCAGCAGCATCATCATCGTCCTCCTCATCATCATCATCAGCATCAGCATCATCATCAGCAGCATCAGCATCATCGTCCTCATCATCATCATCATCATCAGCAGCATCAGCATCAGAATCATCATCATCATCATCATCATCATCATCATCATCATCATCATCATCATCATCATCATCATCATCATCATCATCATCATCATCATCCACTACGTCGAGGCAATTGAGTTTTTTCGGACGTTTGCGATCGGACAGTTTGCGAGTAGTGGAACGCGCTCGGTGAGTTGAGGGAGGGGGGGAAGGTTTCTTATCGACGGCGAGCGACGGGGGGACGTGAGAAGGAGAAAGCTTTCTCGGAAGGCGGCGGAACGTCTCAGAAGGCCTCCAGCCGCTGGATGGACTCCAGCCTCCAGCCTCCGGACTTTCTGCGTCTTCGAGGGAGGCTGAGAGAACTTCTCATAAGGCCGGGGGACTTCCGAGCCCCATGAGAAGGCCTTCCCTTTTCACTTCCGCCCTGGGTTCGCCGTCGACAAGAGGGTGAAGGGAGGGGAGAAGGCTTCTTAGAAAGAGGCTGCTCCTTAGAAGGCGCTGGCCTTGCATCTACAGATCAGGCCCGCGCCCCTTCTAAGAAGCAGTGGTGCTTCTAAGAAGCCCCTATCCCCTCCCCCATATCCCCCTCTGCGCGTAGCTGAGTGGCACCGCCCATGAGATCTGGGCGTCGCAATTTTTGTCACACCCCGGGCGCCTTGGCCCAGTGTCTGGCCCCAGGGCCATCGCGGATCGATCCAGCCTGAGAAGTGCCGCAGACAGATGGGGTCTGGGCTCCACCCGTGCCTTCATTTGACGTTTGCCTCAGCATCGAATCTCAGAGGTCGCTGCCGCCGAGGGGGTCGCCGTCAACGTCTCCCCGGCTGACGGCGGGTGGGAACACAGTCGGGGCGGCTGGGCGTCCTCCGGAAGACTGCGCCGCGGGGGGAGCTCGCTGCGGGGCCTCTGGTGCCAGCACGCAACGAGCGGCCAGCTGCGCCAAAGGTGCGCGCACCGCTGTCGGGGTCGAGAGGTCCGAAGCCCCGCATTGAGAGGATCAGGGCGTGTGACAGTGTTTGGTCTGGGCCGGCCCTCGCCTCCCTTCTGTGTCCCACTCGTTCCTTCGGCGAAGGGTTCCAGGGCAACTTCGTTCGACGTGACGCGTCCCAAGTCGAAACACAGGCAGCGCGGGCGGTCTTCGAATTGAACATACAGACTGTCTTCGAAGAGCGGTCTTCCGAACAGCCCAACAGCAAGGTGAACTAGCCCGCCGCGACTCCTCATTCCTATCCTTTTACTGATCCTCCTCTTTTTCCTCCTCCTCCTCCTCCGCCTCCTCCTCTTCCTCCTCCATCACTTCCCCTTGTAAATCCGACCAGCCCTTTAGGGCGTGAGTGGTTCAGAGCGTCTCTTCTTCAAACCCCCTTCCTCCCCGTCGGGGTGAAGTTTACCACTCCTCCTACCCCTCTCCCCTTGGACCTCGACGGTGGGGGTCCACGACCGAATGGAGTATCAAGGATGGCCTCGGCGAGAAGGCAAAGGCCCAAAACTCCCCAAACAGTGCTTGCACTTAGAGGTCCTTCTACTGTAAGGAGCTGAACCGCGTCTTCGGTCTGGCGGTTCCGTGCCGGCCGTCGCCGCACCGTCGCCGCACCGTCGCCACTTCGTCGCCGCCACGTCGCCGCCCGTCGCATTGGCCGTCTGGGTGGACCGGCGGTTCCGTGCTGGCCGTCGCCGCCTCGTCGCCGCCTCGTCGCCGCCTCGTCGCCGTCTCGTCGCCACCCATCGCCGCCGTTGGATTGCACCAAATAGACTGCCTGGAAAAATCGCATCTGCGGCGTGCTCTTGATCGCTCACAACAAAAATTGTACCACATATATTGCGCAACATACATTGCACCTTATAGATTGCACAACAGATGTTGCATGTACAAGCAGATATGTTGCACCATACATGTTGCAAAACATAGATTGCAACACGTACGTTGCACAACGTATACAGCACAACCACAGATACGGCAATATATATATATGTGGCACAACATAAACTGCATCACCTAGACTCTCCCTTCTCAAAATGAAATAGGTTCTACCACCCTCCCCCCCCGGGGTTAAAGACCCCCTTTCTCGTATTGCAATTTACAAATGATTCTGCCCCGTCGTCCATGCGAACTGCGAATTCAAACTATCCCAGCCAAACCCGTATCGCCCCCCCCGGCCATCCTCTGCAAAGACTACTATGCGCGCACACTCGTTTATCAATGATCACAAGTCGTCTTGCAAAAAATGGGACGAAGTGCACACGCGCGAGTCGTCGCGCGCGCATGCCGAAATCCTTCAAAAACCTTCGAATTCGGAAGGAATTCAAAATCGACTGTCCAAAAAACATATCAGAACACAAGGTTTCGCAACACGGGTTTTTACATGTTATATATACAACAAAAAATGCGCGCGCACTCTTACGAAATCTTAAGAAAACCATAGATTTTGCAACACGTTCAGAGAATGTTACCAAACGGGTTTCGCGCGCGGGCATGTCGAAATCCGCCGATCCCCTTGGGGTCACGGCGTGTGAAATGCTTCCCCCTCCCCAAACCCCTCCCCCGGGGGCCTGGTCCGGCCAGTTTGGAGGGGGGGGGGGGGGCAAATCCATCACCCGCACAATTAGAGCCTCACGAGGCCCCAAAACCGGCCAAAAAGGTTCCAAAGGTTCCCGGTCCACGAGAGCTACGAATCGACGAAAGATCGCCCCAAAACGCCGAAGATTGTCTCCACACGGCTCCAGAAGTCCCCAAGACGTTTAAAACAATATTACGAGGCGCCCCAAAGAGGCCCTCCAGAAGCAAAACTCGTCCCATTCCCTGAAGGAAAAATACATGTTCACCACATTCGCCCATTCGGTTTCCACTCGGCGCAAAGCGGCCCAAGAAACCTCCAAGATCGACCCTCGCCAACCCAGGAGGCTCCCAAAAACGCTCTAAGACGGCGCCCGGGCGATCCTCGAAGGCCCCAGAAATCATAAAACGGCTTAGGAAAGCCGCAGGACGGTCCCAACAGGGCTCCAAAACGGGGCAAGAGGGCCCCAAAAACTGTCCAGACGTCCCACGCGGAGGACGATTCGGTCCAAACCGCCCCAGATCGCCGCCAGACAGCCCCATGGGTGTCCAAAACGTGTGAAAACGCGACAACGAGGCGCTCCAAGAAGGTTTCCAGTAGCAACAACCGTCTCATTCCCAAGATAAAACGTACATGTTCACCACATTCGACCTCCAGAATCGACCCCTGTCACCCGACGAAGCCCCCAAGAAGGCTCCAAGACGGCTTCTGGGCGATCCACGAATGCTCCACAAACCATAGCAACGGTCCAGGAAAGCCGCAGGACGGCCCCAAGAAGGTTCCAGAACGGGCCAAGAGGGCTCCCAAAGGTTGTCTGGACGGCCCACGCAGGGGACGATTCGGTCCGAACCGCCCAAGATCGCCGCCAGACGGCCCATGGGCGTCCAATACGTTTGCCTACGCGACCACGAGGCGCTCCAAGCAGGCCTCCAATAGCAAAACCCGTTCCATTCCCCTAGTAAAATGTACAAGTTTAGCATATTCGCTTCTTGGGCTTCCACGAGGCCCACAACGGCCCAGTAAACCTCCAAGATCGACCTCCGGCACCCCAAGAATCTCCAAAAGGCTCCACGACGGCCTCCAGGCGCCCCACAAACGCCCCGGAAACCATAACAACGGCCCGGGGGAACGGCAGGACGGTCCTGAAAGAGTTCCAAAACGTGTCCACAGGGGCCTCACAAGCTGTCCGGACAAGCCACACGGGGGACGATTGCTGCCGCCCCAAGGGGCCGGCGGCGTGGCGAAAGCCAATGAATCGTTCGGACACCCTTGCGCGCGTGCTGGGGTGGCACGATCCGTCTCAACTAATACCACGCGGGCCACTCTCGCGAGTCTGCCGCGCGCGCATTTCGAACTTTTCCATAAACCTTCACCACCGACGCGAAAACGCCGTCATCGTCGTCGGCGTGATCAGCATAGGCGCCGTCACTGGCTGCCCCGCCGTTGTTGTCAGCATCGTCCCCACCATCGCTACCATCATCATCGTGTCTACCGTTGTC